TCTCCATTTCCTAAGAGAAAATCCGGCTGAATAAAGAAGATTATTGACTTCACGAATATGACATGTAGCTTCTTCAATTGTGTCTGCACCAGAAAGCAAGTCATCCACATAAAAATCGGTTTGTACTATTTTTGAGGCCACTGGGAAAGTTGACACCTTGTCCCTTGCAAGTTGATGTAGGGTGCGCATGGCGAGATATGGCGCACAAGACAATCCATATGTCACAGTCAGTAGTCTATAATCCAATAAAGGTTCTGATAGATTTTTTCTCCATAAAATTCTCTGGAAATCACAATCCCTAGAATCGATTCTTACTTAGCGATACATTTTCTCTATATCTCCTGAAAAAGCTATTTTGCGTGTTCGAAATCTTATCAGAATGTTGAATATATCCTGTTGTAGTTTTGGTCCTACATGAAGAAAGTCATTTAGAGATTTGCCATTGCTAGTTTTGCAAGATGCATCAAAAACAACTCTCAATTTAGTGGTAGTGCTTTGCTCCTTAAAAACAGAATGATGAGGTATATAATAAGGTGCATCCAGCTCATCACTGGGAATAAGCTCCATATGATTGATTAAAATATATTCGTCCATGAAATCACAATATTGTTTCAGGATACTTGGAGATTTTTGTAATTTTCTTTCAAGTGATAGAAATCGTTTCAGAGCATTGATCCTAGATTCGCCAAGAGTTAGCGATGTTCTAAATGGCAGCCCAACAGAGTACCTTCCATCTTCCAGAATTTTGAGGTTATTAATATATATTTATTCACACGAAATTTCTTCTCTGGTTAAAGATTTGGCAGAGGGTACTGACTCCAGCTCCCAGAATATTTTGAGAAAATCATCTTGTTCCTCCGACGCGAACATAAAAAGATTTACTGAACGAAGTATCTTTAATTTTAAGAGCTATGAATACCAGCCAGGCATCTATCTTTACGATAACCGAATCTAGCCTATTGTGACATCCTGCGGCATGTGTATCTGAGCAAAACATTGGGAATCGCAAAAGGTGATGAGTAATTTGAGGTGAAGTTGTCTCTATGTTAACTTGTTAAATAAAGGGTGTTCTCACTTTTTTTGTCACTTAATCTTCTTCCGTGTCATTCTATTAACTTATTATTACCTATTTTACACAATATGGCTTATTCAAATGTTTCAAATTACTTCCAATTTCAATTTACATATCTTCAACTTTTTCCTGAGTTTAATTAATCCTTTATTTGTTGTGTTAAATAAACATTCGCGCGCGCGATCTAAATGTTTTCTTTTGATATAGACATATGTACCACTTCCTCTGCAATATGAATTTTATGTTCAAATAAAGTGTCTTTCAGCGGCCTCGGGCGGGTCGGTGAGTGGCGGAGGCCAGGCCCAAAGTGGAGTTGCCCCTGTCCAGAATAGATTCAACTTCCCTGAAACCTGGCTCTGGGACCTCGTCTACGTGTGAGTGTATTCTTATGTTTGCACAGACATTTTGAAACATGTGATTATATTATGTAACATTAGCGCGCCATCTGTTATGATAATTCAAAACTATTATAGACACGTATGATTCTTTTTAAAATTAAATAATTTTCTACTGCCCTTACTGCAATGAAAAATTAATGGGAGGGTTTGGCTCATCAGTGTTGTTGATTATATATTGACATGTATGGTGATTTTGGTTAACTCGCGAAGTAATGCCTGGTAATTGAATCATGTAGGGATGGAGGATTTAGACTACTCAGCTAAGAATTACCCATAGTAGTATGTTGAATATCGAACATAAATCAACCATAGTTTATCCTTCCTATGTTTAGGACTGCAGTAAAACTGCTGTTTCAGAGGAACACTGGAGAAGGAGAGATTATTGCACAGACATTCATTCAAGGCGATAAACTACACGGTTGAAAAATATACATTCGTGGACATATTAAAACAAATATTTTAAATTATTTTAAATGATTTCAACTGTGATATTATAACATTATGCGGCGCTGAGTTTGTGTATACAAAAATGTAATGCCTCGATAAAGGTTGGCGTTCAGCCAGCCGAAATATTAGAAAATAAATATTTAATTAAATCTAATATATGCCTTTTTTATTATCTAATTAAAACAAATGTTATTAAAATTTGTTTTAATGCTTGTTGGGAAATATATATTATTGTTCATCCTAAATTCCTGATGTATCAACATTTTTTTATAATATAAAAATATATTAATACAAAGCTTCTAGCATCCTTAATTTAAGAAAAAAGTCAAATAAAGCAAAAATAAGGTTTTGGTACTCACCATCTATACTAAAACAATGATTGGCTTGTTCCATTATTTCAATGTCGCTTATCATCTATTCAATAATTTGTTTTGAGAATAGAGCAATCCCATATTTAATTCATTAGGTAATAAAAAGGCATATATTGGATTTAATAAAATATTAAATATAATATTAAATTCAATATGTGCCCCCCCTTTTTTATTATCTAATATTCAATAATTCAATCTATAAATCATGTATGATATCAAAAGATCACTTCAGATGAATACTAGCCATATAGCGATTTCTCAATTTCAACAACAGACTTCAGATTTAAGAATGTTTTCAGAAATCAAAGACAAATTTAATTAAACTGGATGGATAATTAAGATATACTGATTCTTCCAAAACCGTTTTAATATTGATTATAGCTAGCTTGTCAAATAGACTATATGGCATATATATAGATGTGTTATTCATAATTTTTAATTTATATAAATTCGGAGTTAGAGCATGCTTCTCTCTATATATACATATTTCCTTATATAATCTTTTATGAACGATTAAGAATGTAGTTTTAATCTCAGTCTCTATCTCTCTGTGTTAAAAATGTATATAGTGTAACAAAGTATTTATTATTTTATTAACAGAGTATCATTTTTGATGTTTATATTTTGCTACTCTGTAAACTTCCCTCATTGCTTATCTTTTGTTTATCATTCATAGTTTGTTCTTGCCTTAAATAAATTGCCGTGTCATACTGGAAGTTTTCTTTCCTAATTTACCACGTGGCAATATACATTTTTCCCTCACTTCAAACTATTTTAACTCCTTATTATATATTCCTTGTAAATATATCTATTAACAACCTATCTATACTGTATTCACACTGCAATGAATAGAAATTGATAAGCTCGAATTCACCTCCAGAGGAAGGACACACATAGCGTCAAGTTTCACAAACGTGTTGTTTCTTATCCTCTTGTGTAAAGATTACACAAATTCCATGAGTTCATGCTTCTCGATCTGTTTGATGATAAGCAGCGGCCTCTCCCAAAGGTCCTGTTTAGTACATCTAATGCAAGCCTAAATGTGTTCTGGAGCTGCAAGTACCAAGCTATATTTTAGGCAAGTGGGGTAGATTTTGTTATTTTCTAACTTACTCCAAAAACGTAGGAGGGATGTGTGTTAACCATATAAGCGGGGGGGTCTGAACCCTTCCATTATTTAATAGAATCAATAAAGCATTCACGGAATAAGTTTCTTGTACTTTCTTATCCATTCTTGTCGAATGACGACCGTTTCGTCTATTTCAACACATAGCGATGGCCTCCAATAGATCTTGCAAGAAATACAGGCTGTATATCATGCCTGCGTTCTTCGGGGGGGCTCTTCATATTATTACAAGGTTTTCCCAAAAGTTCGTTAAACTTGCAAAAATTGAATTTGGATATATATATTATACGGATATATATTTGGAATTTGTTTCAGGTGTTACGAACTTTTGGGACAACTTTATACATTTGTTTAATAAAGTTTGATAACTACTTTATACTTTGATGCCTTGTATTCAATACCACGATGTGTGGACGTTCCAGACCAAATGGCCAAGTGACTAAGCAAGCCGAGCTGCCCCACACATTGACCACATGGACAGGAAACGCCGTCTGCATCCACCCACAGAAAGGAATCGCCATCTCCCCTTCTGCCAATATCACAGGCTTCCAACCATTCTTTGTCTCCGTCAACCTGCCCTACTCTGTCATCCGGGGGGAGACCGTGCCCGTGGTGGTGTCCGTCTCCAATTACCTCGATGTCTGCCTCCCGGTCAGTTCCTACCTACATAAAGTCTTAGACACGCTTGATTTAAAAAGTATCAGGGTATCGTGATTAAACGATATTTTATCAGTTAAAAATATTTTACACAAATAAATTTACTGGCAATGCGCTTCTTTTAAATATCATCAAATATTATCTCTACAGATCTTACTCCAATGAGGTCTGTAGAGATAATATTTGATGACATTTAAAAGAAGTGCATTGCCAGTAAATTTATATGTGTAAAATATTAACGATAGATGGCAATTAAATTTAAGTTAAAAATATATTTCTAAATTCAAATTCTTCGTCTAAGCATTTAACTGAACTTTGGTAGCTACACTCTGTCATCTATCGGAATAAATTTCAATTAGGCATTGAATGCATAACATAATATTGTCCTCAAAATTCTTTCCTAATAGAGGCAGAAATGCCAATCATGTAGATGTTACAGCCTATTGACCCTGGTCAGAGTAGAACAGGCTGAACCTCGACGAACAACCGAGGGGTCATGGAGACTTTTTGAACTAGTGAAAGGATGGTTTAACCAAGATGCATTCGTATGCGCTTGAAGATTTAAAAAATTGGTAGCAATGATATCATGATGGGTAAATTGATTAGAAGGAAACCTCCAGATTATGATAGCAACTGTTAGCGTTATTATATATTTATGCTATATCAAATGTTTATATACTAGCCAAATATCAATACATCCTTTCTTATTAAAATATCCATATATTCCATAGAGTTTTACAGCCAGTGTTTGAAAAATTACTTCCATGGTTATCTTAATATGGGTATTTTATACTATCAATAGTATCATTTCGATTTTTCGTTGAAAAGAAACACATGCGGAATAATTTTCAAATGTCGTTTTACAATCATAAGCCGCATTATATTGTATTATAAATTACCTCATATAATATTTACGAACGGAAAAATATGTCCAGGACAGCCTAGTGGACATGGTAAGCGGAACACTGTGGGTTCGATTCCCATCCCAGGACACTTTTATTTTTCCGTTTATCATTACTCTTCACAATTCATCCTTTCATAATTCATCCTTAAGGTTGTAAATAATCGTTATTTCTCCTTAAAATTTTCGATTTTTCGTTTAAAATAAACACATGCGGGATAATTTTCAAATGTCGTTTTACTCTTAATAGTGTTGAAGTGATATCATACACAGAGCTGTGACGTAGAATCTGCTGTGTTCAGGTCAGGATCACCCTGGACAATGTCAACCAAGGAGGCTACCGCCTGAAAAACGAGTCTGTCTCCCCAGAAGCCAGGATCTGTGTCTGTGGAGGCGAGGTGACGTCTACCATCTTCGACATCGTTCCGAAGGACATCGGCTCTGTGAATGTCACCGCCAGCGCCATCTCGTCCGCCGATCTCTCCGCGTGTGAGGGCAGGAATTGGTCTACCCAGGCCGCCCGTGACACTGAGACCCGAGTCCTACTGGTCGAGGTAGGTTTACTGCAACAACTGACATCCTGTTCTATTAAGTATAATATGATACATTAACGCGCCATCTGTCATGAGAATTCCAAACTATTATAGACGCGTATAATCATTTTAAAAATCAAACAATTATATATGGCCTGGCTTCATTAAGCCCTCCTATTAATTTTTCATTGCAGTAAGGACAGAAGAGAGAGAGATTGAGATTGAAACTGATTTATTACAACGTCCATATTATATAAGGTTAAATACATAATAAATATAAATATGAATAAATATGATTATATAATGATATAAATATGTAAATTAATATATAAAATAATTGATAAATATACATATATATATATATATTAATATACAAGGTCTTTATTGGTGGCGCCCACCGCGGGAAAGACTCCGCCACCGGTGGACTGCGAGAGTTCTTTCCCACAGAGTGGGCAGGTCGATGTGTTGGCTGGCATTACCCAACTCAAGACCAAGATGGTACTTGTAGATGGTAGCCTTCGCCACACTTTTTAGTTTCACTGCCTCGGGTTGGAGGCCGAAGAGCGAGAGAGAAAGAGAGAGATATTGAGACTGAAACTACTTTAAGACAATGTTCATATAAAAGAGAGATTGAGATTGAAATAGATTTATTAATCTATCATATAAGATTATATAAGGTTAAATATAAAATAATTGAATAAATATAAATAAAGACTGTCGGACGTGCGTCGCTTGGCTCTGCTAACTCCGGTAAGCTTTGGTTATAAAACTTCTTCCTTGCCTGTTATAAAACTAAAAATTTATATATAAATAGCTTAAATCAAAAATAATTTTAACTTTTGATCGGCAATTGCTGTTTGAATTTTCGAAGGTTTATTATTAAATATGTAAAAATTTGAAAATGAATGCTCTAATTTTAGAACGATTAGATGAACTATGCACATATTTTACGGATAAATTTGATAACAATCAATAAACATTAAATAAACAAGATATAGGATATTTAAGGGGAACAATAAAACAGATAAAGGATAATATAACAGAATCACTTAAAATTGATCAGAAAATAAACAAAATCGAAGAATGTATGCAAAATAACTTTACGGTAATCAATAACGATTTATCGAAGATAATTGGGCAGGGTTTAAGTAAAGATTCGTATGCAGAAGTGGCTAAAAATAAAGATTACTTACTTACACAAAAAGTACGACAAAATACTAAGGAACAAGCCATTTTTATAACAGCTAATGAAAATCAAGCAATATCACAGGTACAACAAAAGGTAAATGAGGGTATCAAATTTCTTAGACAAGAGGGCAATAAAACAAGAATCAATAGAATAATAAATACAGGAAAAGGGACGATCCTTAAACTGCCTAATGATCAGAATATAGACCAACTGATTGAAAGTTTCAAGAAGCTTGACGAAATCAACCAAATCAGCAAAATATATAAGCCAAAACTAAGAGATCCTACAATTCTGGTTAAATCGATTAACAAAATAACAGATATAACAAATATGGTTCAAGCCTCAATAATAAAACTACTACAGTCTTTTCTTAATAATAGAAGAGTGAGATTTAGATACTCATCAAATGAAACCCATAAAAAATTAAGCAAGGGATGTCCCCACAGGGTGGACCTATATCCCCTACAATATGGAATATTATTCTAAACGATTTATTGAATAACTATTCAGAATCAAACAGTGAAATCATTGCTTATGCGGATGATATAACTGTGATATGTTGGGGAAACAACTTGACAGAACTTCGGAATACAACAGGAAAGGTCATGGGGAGAATATTAGCCTGGTGTGGGAACAATAAGTTGACCGTATCTGAAGAGAAAACGAAAATCTTATACTTGTTTAATAGCAAAATAGCTGCAGAAATTCCTAACACTATCACTGCCAATCGGGTGGAAAAACTGAAGATTATGGGAATAACTTTTAAAAATCATAGAAATAAAAACAAATTGGATTTTGTGCCCCATATTGATGAGATTATTACTAAGACAAATAGAGCTAGTGGATACCTAATTGGATTAACTGGGAAAGCATGGGGACTGGACAGTAAAAGAAGAATAGAACTCTATAAGACACTGTTTCGAAGTTCACTAACTTATGGTTCCACGATCTGGTACAACTTTATATACCCAAAAAAGTCAAAGATAAATTAAACTCTCTGAAGTACAAAATTTGAAGCACAGTACACAGGTTTATAATTCAACATCTTCAAACTGTACTCATATTGTTGCTAGAACACCAAAGCTCACGGATTTTATTGAAACAAATATACTAAAAATAAATATTGGATACAAAAAATCAGATCCAACTAAAATAAAAATTATATCTAATTTTATAGACCAGAAATTTGAGGAATACTATGGAGGTGCCAATGATAATTTCAAGGGATTCTTTGATACTTCAAGAATTCCTAACTATGTTCAACCCAACTTCTATAACGTTCAATTTTTTACTGGACATGGTGACTTCAACACATATTAGTTTAGAATTGGCAAAATTGGTTCACCTGCATGCACTTGTGGAAACGAACAACAAACCCCTGAACACCTTCTGATAAACTGTCCATTAACTTCTGATCTAAGGGAAGAAAATCAACTTTACCTGACTAATACAAAACAAGCTGCTTGCAATAAAGACCAATACATCAAGTTTAATAGATTCTGCAGGATGTATATTTTGAGGCGAAAGTGTTGACTGTACATATTTCAAGCTACTACTTATAATTGCTATATGTAAAATTTGACAACGAACGTTTAATATTAATGATTTCCAATGTTCAATTGTATTAATTGTATATAATTTAAAATATACACGCAATTATCCAAATTGTGGATATGGCGTGTCTCTCCCAACTGTTAAATAAAATATAAATAAATAAGATTAAATAAAGATAAATAGAGAGACATAATTGTTTAATTTCTAAAAGAATCATACACGTCTATAATAGTTTAGAATTCTCACTTCTATCAAGTATTCACCCTGTGTGTGTCGGGGTTTCACAACACGCTGTAAGCTCCCTAGAAACTGTTTGGTTTAACTTGAAAGGTGGCATCCATGTTTTGGCTACTTTCATTTGTGGTAATGTATTTGTGTGAGAATGTTTCTTGTATGCCTGCGACTCGGAAATTTATTATTCAGTCTCGATAAGAGGTATGGCTTAGAAGTTCTAAAAAATGTGAGACGTATAAAATATTTATTTGATTTTTATATGTATTTATTATATGCGCATTATTATATGCCTTTTATAACATTAGTATTTTGGAAGAGTATCCATTAGACTTCCTCAGATATCAACTGCACTCCCTGTATGCTTAATAAGAATTTTATCAATACATTTCTGCATTGACGTTGATTTTTTTTTTTAACAAAAGAGGTCAATGTAAAAAGAGTGGCCATTGTTTGTCTTCTGTATTATCAACAATGGCAACAATTACCTAGGATTTGTCTTTTCATGGCGTATAATCAACAAAATTACAACAAATAAATTAATAAGGCTAGCTGAATATTTAATCCTTCAAAAACCTGTGTGTGAAGTTAGTTCATATCTTGAAATATATTTTGTTTCTTCATAATATATATATTCAATTTCAATTGAATTCATCTTGGTCTTCACAAAAGGAAACAATGCCTCACTATATCTTATGTATAAAAACATTGAGTAATTTGAATTTTTACCAACAAATATTTCTATAAACCTATATTTGATTTGTTCATCATAATTCCAGGATATGTAAATATATATATCTAAAATGTAACAGCCGGAGGGAATCCCCCAGCAGATCACCCAAAGCGCCATGATATGTGCCAACGGTACGTACACCTCCCTGTCACTGGTATTGTACCCGCGGCTAACGTGACGTGACAGATGGAAATGTCACCTCCATCGACGTGTCTCCACCCGACGACGACAACCTGGTGCCGGACTCCGTCCGTGTCTACAGGCTGGTGTCCGGGGACTTGCTGGGAGCGGCGCTGCAGCACCTGGACAGCCTGGTGATGATCCCCATGGGCACCGGCTTCACCACGCTGGTGCGGTACCTGCCCAACATCCTGCTGCTGAGGTACCTCGAAGCCACTGGACAGGTCAATGACCAGCTGAAACAGGAGGCCTTGTCCAACATGCGGGCTGGTGAGCTTCTCTACTGTATAATAGCCTTCTTGAGAGTGGCCGGAGTTCTATGGACAACATTTAAGGAAGTGGAATCGGTATCGGAAAGGTATCGCCCGTCGTCTGTTTTTTTTTTAAGTAGACAGAGGCAATTTTGTTCACACTTGGTTATCTCGTGTGTCTTCAAAAAAATACTGTGTTTGAATCCTGATATATATGCTAAAAGATACAACTTCCGTAAGTTTTATTCATGAGTGTACTTGCGATGTCAATTCCTTAGAGACTTAGAATCATATGGATTAGAGTAATTTACTGCTTCGCCTATTTATACACCAAATCCATCCGATTGTATGGTGAGTATTCGATCCTTGTTATCAAAATTGTGAATTTCTAACGGACTATGTCTCACACATAGGCTAATAT